CTGGGTAATAGAGTGAAACAGCAGGAGAATGAGAGCCTGTGATTAAGCTAAATGAAGTTAGTCTTCAACAAAGCCAGAGACGGTGGTGGTCTTTACTTTGGTCTTCCAAACAGCAGATTCGGTTTAATCTTTTTAATATTCCGATTTGACGAGCCTAATAATGGTGAGTGGCTGAGATCATCAAAACAAAAAAGAAGTAATTTATGGTAGCTAAACTGGATTGCAAAGAGGGTCTCTTTCTTTCTCTCTCTCTCTCTCTCTCTTTCCCTTTTTCTTTCCCTCACTTTCTCTCTCTTTCTAGTCCAGATGTGGGCAGCAGGACTGTGGATACACTGCCAAGTCTGTCTGCATGCTCTCAGTGTTGGTTTCAGTCCAATGTCAGAGTATCTCTCTGCAGAGGACAATGTGGTGATTCAGTGTGCTGGGCGATTTTCAGGGCTGAGCTCCTTGGTGTAACAAAATGTTGCATTGACTTTTATATCGTTCATTTGCATCGTTTGCTTTGATAGTTCAGTGCTGGAAATTTAATCGTGTGTGTTTTAGCGCCACCATATTGCCTATTACATCTCTTTATTAAAATGACAAGCAGGAAATCGGTTTTAGTTTTCTAATTTGCATAACTTACAATGTAATGGACAAGCTCTGATGCTCTCACTGCCGCTGTGTAAATACAGAAATGATCTCAGGCATGTGTTTTGCTCTCCCTCTCTCTCTCTCTCTCTCTCTCTCTCTCTCTCTCTCTCTCTCTCTCTCTCGCACGCTGCATGAGGCATCCTCCGCTCATTCTGCCTTGGCCACCTGTCTGCTCGTCCTGTGCTCCAGCCAATAACAGCGGTTGACTGGTCCTTGTGTACTTTAATGAGATCACACCCATGTCTCTCCTCCTCATCTTCCTCCTACTTTTCGTCATCATAGTTCATCTGCTCATTTTGCTTTAATTCTTCACTCTGGTTTTTCCTCTCTTTTTCTCCTTTACTGTCTTTCTTACCTTTATATATAGACACATTATTAAAGATTACTTCCATGGCTTGATTAAGTTTCCTTTCTCTTTTCTACTGGTCTCTGGACTCCACTGGCGAAAGTCTCGAAGTAGGAAAAAAGCAAGTGCACTAATATAGTTTTATTTTGACATCTATGCTTCTGTGTATTTGCTCCTGTATATACTCTCAGTGAAAACAAAATGGTGTAGGTCAGGTGGCTTTCTCTTTTAAAATTAGCTAGATCTCTCAGAGCCCCAGACTCTATTTAGGTATTTAAAAATGGCAGCAGCTGATAGAGTAGAGGGGCGGGGCTAATACATTGTCCAGAGCTAAAGGATGGTCTACAGTCAGTAATTGTATGCAAAGCAGTTCTATATGGTTGGTTTACCTATTAAAATAGCCAGTGGTTGTGGCTAAGGTACCTGAATGTTTCATTTGTGCACAATGTGTGTAATCATGCAAACGAATGCCATCACCGAATGCCATCTACAAAGCCGTGATTCACACAATCATGCAGTTTTTTCGTACAGTCAATTACAAGCTCTTAAAATAACATTTGTAGGCTGTATTAGGCTTGGGACGATTGACGATAGTATCAGGAATCACCGGAAGATTCCAGCTATCGCCGTGGCTATCAAGTTGGATGAGTTAAATGTCTTGGAAAATGTGTTGCGTGTAGCTTTGAGATCTATAAAAAATAACTTGTGTTGTGTCTCGTAATATGTGTTTCCTCTTTCTCTGATGCATCTTAGTTTCCCCTCTCCGTGCTGCTGAACGTCTTCACTTGCAAACCATCAGCGGGAGTTTAAATTAAGATAATAACAGCGTGCTGTTTATCAGAGCTACTTCACCGTACAAGAATTCAGGAAGTATCTCTGCTGCTGTTCAACACAGAGCACATGCATGTGTACTTTATATCATTTTATTTAGATTTAATAATGAGCTTAGTTACAGCTACTAAGTTGTTAGGTTTACTAACAGTCCTGACTTCAGTTTTGCAAGCATTCCTGACCTTGTTAACAGGTACTTAAAAAAAAAAACGGACTAATTGCGATTGCAGCTTCAGCCGACTCATAATACTTCCAGTATTTTTTCTGCTGTAATGAAGTGCCGTGTACATCATATGTTACTGGTGTCTGGCCACGCCCACTTCTTTTCCCCCTCAGAGCCAGAGCAGCGCCTGCTGCTCTCTATTGGCTTAGGTGTTTAAAATGACATTAAGTAGTTATTTTGTTTCTATGTGTGCCTTCTTGGTGGAATACTGGCTGTTGAACGGCAGTATCCTTTTTTTTTTTTTATTTTAAGGTGGTGGTGCGTCACACACTCATCTATTTAAAATAGCTTCTTTGGCATAGACTGAATTGAAGGCCTTGACCTAAAATGCACAATCCACCTACTGCTCTTCTCTCCCTCTAACTCGCTCTTCATTCCTCTTCTTGCCTCTCACAGCTCTTTTCCATAAATTCATACATGCATTTGTTCCATTAAAGTCGACACTGTAAAGAAAAAGATCCATACCTGCTTTCTGAGAAAGGGTTGACATTAGGAAATGGTGAGCCACATGCTCGTCTGCTTCAAAATTAGAGCAATCGACACGTTCGTGTGTTGTCTCTCACTTATACTTGCAATACATTAGAGAGTGTGCAACACTCAGCTTTCTCACTTGGCATCGTGTGATTTTACACACAAACACAATTCACACGCACAGAAATTCAGCTGCAGATTTAAACACTCTGATGACTCAGACAGGTTACTGTACTATTTTAAGAATTAATTAAAAGCATATGATACTCAGCATGATTAAGGAGTCATAATTAAGCATTAAGACTGTCTGTCTCTCTCTCTCTCTGTCTCTCTCTCTCTCTCTCACACACACACACACACACACACACACACACACACACACACACACACATACACAGACATGTACACAATACACGTGTAGGCACATATACTGCAGTATATTATCCAATCTAAGGGCAGTAGTTGCATTTGTCAGTGGCAAACCTTGCCAACTAACATGCATACACAAACCCCCATGGGTCTCCATTTGTTGCCAGGGTTCCAAGCTGGGCCTCGGAGCTCTGTACGCTCTCACAAACAAGAAGTAGGTCTAGAAATCTCCACAATACTGCCATCATCCCAGAGATCACATTCGGTTGCACACTTGACCTAGAGTTATGATGATACCATAATGGATTTTTACCATTTTGTATTTCTGTCACTGTATATTTTGGTTGTTTCTGGGAGCATAAGCTCAGATACGTTACATAATGATAGCATAATGGATTTTTCTGTCTGGCTCCAGATTAACGCCAGCATGGTTCTATTGTAGTGAGAAAACAATTTGATTGTTGAATCAAATGCAGGAAGTGAATCACTAGTGTTTAGTTGCTAGGAGCTAAGTTATCTGCAAATTCAACAAATCTGATAGTTTATTGTTTTAGTCTAGGGGCGACCAAAGTAGAAGAAATTCACAATCTCCTGTTTTCTTGTATTATAGTATATTATATAATAGTGCACATTTAGCGATTTTAGTCTTTTTCACGCAATAAAAGTAAACAAATTTTTCCATTCATCTACCTCCACTGTTTCTTCAGCAGCACTGAGTGACTCTGATTCAGTGGAGAAACAGATGCCAAGAAAACAACCATAAAAATCTGTCAAAACACTTGTTTGCATATGAATTAAGTCCTAAATTATAACTCGATAATAAAAATCTAGCCGAAAGCGACAATCTGCAGGGTACAAAAAAACTTTGAATATAGTGTCCCCGAGTTTCCAGTTCTTGGCAAGTAATATAGAACAAAAAAGAGACACTAGATCATGGGTTCCCAAACTAGGGGTCCCGACCCCACGTGAGGTCACTTGATTTGCAAATCTTTTGTTTCATTCATTTATATTACAAATTAATATTAGAAATATCGGAGACAAATTTTGTGTAATATTATTTGAAAATGTAACTAGAAGTCACTCTCAGTATGCCACATATAATTTAATAGGGTACTGTATTTTTGTCTTTTTCACTATCCTGTCACATAACACTGGCGTAATTTAGCAATAAAAAATTGACAAATCTCCGCTAAGCAAACTAGCATTGCGTCTCAAATCTCATGCTTAGGCCTGTGTACTATTTTGGACCCTTTCTGAGTACCAACACTAGCCGGGTTTCCTATTACAGTTAGTGTGCAGATTTTAGAAAGATCTCATGTAGCCTTCAAACCTACCGAAAGATCTGTTTTTGCATACTAATCTTCTGGTTTTTCTAGATTAGTAAATACTTTTGAGTCTAAGGTCAGAGTTTTTGGTGTAAGATGCAGCCCATGACAGCACTCACGACCGTGGTGGAAAGTTTTAAGCGAGGCAGAGCTCAGTGTGTTTAACATCATTGTGCATGAAATCGATAAAGCTGTTACAGTTTGACTTGGAAACTGACGGACAGGACTTTTTGGATCTGACGTGCCGCCTAGTGAATGTCGCTTTTAAATCTTCCAGATGTACATAAGATATACACCGAGTGTGTGGTAAAAAAAATGCAGCTCGCGTTGCTGCTGTTTCTGCGCACGCACGCACGCACTACCACACCCCGTGTATAAGCCAGGTTCAACACCTCCCGCTAGAGTGATAAGACAGTACAAGCAATATTCCTTTGGATTTTACTAACTTACACATTATACACACACACACACACACACACACACACACACATACGTTCACTATATATATATATATGACAGTAAAATGTTCGTTACAGTAGTTCTATATTATAAATCTGGAATTTAAAAAAAAAAAGTAGGGTGGTCAAGGATTGCTGCTCATCCTCCTGCCTCATGAACTGCATCTAATTTGAAAAAGCATGTTGAGGTAAGTTTTACTAATTTGCTAAAATTAACTGCCTATATTTAACTAAGTTAGCATGTTTTCTTTACTAATGCCAGTTTAGCCTAGCATCAATTCCAGTAGCTGACAATTGAGTTCTAGCTAGTGCTAAATAATGGTTATTTTACATCATATTTTACAGGCAAAATGGCTTAGTTGTTAGAGAGACGGACTTGCAACCCGAAGCTGAACTTGAAGGTCGCGGGTTCGAGTCTCGGGCCGGCAGGGATTGTAGGTGGGGGGGAGTGAATGACCAGCGCTCTCTGCCACCCTCAATACCACGACTGAGGTGAGACCCTTGAGCAAGGCACCGATCCCCCAACTGCCTCCCGGGCGCCGCAGCAAAAAACCCCACTGCTCCGGGTGTGTGTTCACGGTGCGTGTCTTCACTACTGTGTGTGTGCACTTGGATGGGTTAAATGCAGAGCACAAATTCCGAGTAGGGGTCATACTTGGCCACACTTCACTTCACTTTTTTTAACGCTTTTGAAGTGTATATATATGAAAGTAGCAACCTTTCCCCTTTCACTTGTACATTTTTTTTTGTCTTCCACTTTTACTTAAGTAAGATTTTTGCACATTATCTATACTTTCAAGCATAATTTCTCAGTACTTTTTCCACCCCTGCTTTTTTATGTGCTATATGCGAACAAAACAGTACATCTCATATCTGAAACACTGACCAGCAACTTGCTGATTTTGTCAAGGGTGCAAACATGATGTGTTACAGTAGAAACCTGGTTAGGAGAGGATAATCCTATACTCGTCATAGGATCAGTGGTCCCCTCAGGGTTCCTGAGGTCTGCGGCTGGAGAGAAGCATCACCACCAGTGAACACAACCTGATCTGCCTGGGGTTAAGTCTGTAGAAATTTAACTTGTATAGCAAATGCTAAATATGATCAAATATGAAGAATGTCAGCTTGATATACTGAAATAAAAGGGAATATGTAGTCAGTCAGATTTAAGAGAACGTATTATGTACAGTAAATGTCAATTTAATTTCTCATCAAAACATGATTTCATTGCTTATATTAAATTTCATTTAAACAAGTTTCTAATTACTAGTTTGAATTATGTGGAGCGAGTGTGAGCACTTCACATAATAATAACGTGCTCCATTTATGATATAAAATCTGGCGAGGATGTTTGCGTTGACAGGAAGAAATAACCATAGTCTTAAACTAACCGGATTAATTCATGTATGGCATGGGCAACGTTGCTGTTTCATAACACCAGTGACCTGGGTTTGGTCCTGAAAATAAAATAAATACTCTGAAAATAGAAAAGATCAAATAATGGTGGATGTACAAAAACAAATTGTGTTCATGTAACTCAGTTTATTCACATGGAACCGATGTACGCATTTGAAAAAATTATCCAGACCAAAAAAACAATTTATTATTTTTTTTTCCAGTGTAATGTTAAAAGATGTTGTTGTCCCTGGTCAGTAAAGTTAGCTGAAATATGTCAAAGTACATTTGCCTTTGCATTGCTTCTGAGCTTGTCTCAGTCAGTGTGTGCCATAGTCCCTCTTAAACTTACGGCCACTCTAAAATAAAATGTTTCTTCTTTCCTCTACCAACTCTTATAAACATGTCCCTCGACTCAGCCGTGTAGACTTATATTATGCTCCAGCAAGTACTGTCTGGTTCTGCGCTCCAGGCTGGTATGCCATTTTTACACTTGTCTGTAATTTTGAAGAGGATGAGCGAGCAGATCATCATGCTGCCCAGTTATTCTGGCTGTATCAGATGGATACAGGTGCGGTGATGTCAGTGGTTGCTTTTCCAGCTTTTCCTCTGAAATATATTGAATAAAATAAAAAACAGTCTGATTTGTTTCCTGGCATGATGCAGCATTTCCTGCTATTAAAGGCATACCTAACTGTTTCTCTATAAAAAAAAATAAATAAAAAAAAAACAAAACAGTGCTGCAGGGAAACAATATAGAATTTACTTGTCACATGCACACGCGCGCACACACACACCCACAGGTTTGTTTTTGAAACAGGGGATGGATTAAAATATGTGAGCTAAAATTAGACTCTAGTGAGACGAACACGTGTCTTGAGGCTTTCTGGTGGGAAAAGGTATTTATTTCTTATTTCCGTTTATAAGCCAGCATTTTTAGAATTCTCTGAGTCATTTCTTCAGTACACCACAGGACATGATCAAGTCTGCTAAATGAGCCAGCAGGGATGTGGGCTAATGAAGATAAAACGAAACGGAAAGAAAGCACCCGCTGGAGCACTGGCATGAAAAGTTACTGTTATTGCTAATGAGATTGATTATGTATTGATCCAGAATTGTCTAAGTTCACAGCATGGGCTGAAAGTGTTTGAAACGACATGACAAATGAGCTGAGACTACTTATCCAACAAGCAGTGCCTTATAGTTCTGTGTGGCACGGCATGGCACGGCACGGCTAGGTGATTTTGTGCTATGTTTATGATTTAAAATGTGAGGTGGCGCTCACACATTAGTTTATTTCTATTTTTTATTTATTTATTTATTTAACAATTGCTAACAAGCATTAGTCAGTATCAAATTCCCTTTTTCTTTTAATCTTATTATACCACTCTCTGTACAAACACACAGCTTAGCACCTCAGTTTATTTCATGACCAAAAAAAAACAAACAAACCCACGTCTCAAAATAAACTCTTCTTCTTTTCTTCTTTACAATATGTGCACTATATGATGTATATACTGTACATATTGATACAATGGTATTTTTCTTCTTTACTTTGTTTCGTATTGTAATTAATTTCCCTTGCTTGGTAGAAAAGCACTTCTTTTTTTTAATAAATTAATTAAAAATATTTGATTACAAACAGAATCTTGACTGTAGCGAGTATACCATAAACAGCAGGGGAGGAAAAAACAGGAAAAACAAATAATTGAAGCGCTAGAAATAAAAGAAACGAATTCAAACCGGAGCAGGATCAATAGCTGATCATATGCTTTCCATCTCTTCCGTGTGGTTAATTAGGAGTAAATAATATAGGAGGAAAAGTCACTGCATGTTTGGATAGACTGTAAGCTCGTGTGTGACTGCATGAGGATGGTGAAATACATGCCTTGTTGTCCTATGCAAATGATCTGCATGTTTTTCTTCCATGGAGGTCATCCAAAAACGAAACGAGGCACTTTTATTGTACGAGCCAATTCAGGATTTGTGGTATAATATTCCTGCACACACACACTGTGCTGTTGTACTGTGCACTGTGGTCTGACTCCAACTGTTCACTGTGGCTTACAGGGTTTTGATTTAGTTTAATATACTGTTTATTATTTAGCTACCTGTTATCAATTTGGCATCCAATCTCCTATCCATTTGGTTTTGAACTTGATTGTAATCAGTTTTTCATGTCATCAGACACAATTGCTCTCTAGAGATACACTATATGGCCAAAAGTATGTGGACACGTGACCGTCACACCCATATGTGGACCTTCTCCAAACTGTCGGAAGCACACAGGTGTATAGAATGTCTTTGTATGTTATAGCATTGCAATTACCTTCACTGGAATTAAGGGGCCCAAACATGTTCCAGCACGACAATGCCCCTGTGCACAAAGCGAGCTCCATGAAGACATGGTTTGCCAAAGTTTGAGTGGAAGAACTCGAGTGGCCTGCACAGAGCCCCGACCTCAACCCCACTGAGCACCTTTGGGATAAACTGGAACACTGACAGCACCCCAGACCTCCTCACCTGACATCAGTGTCCGCCCTCATTAATGCTATTGTGTCTGAATGAGCAAATCCCACAGCTGCGCTCCAAAATCTAGTGGAAAGCCTTCCCAGAAGACTGGAGCTTATTATAACAGACAAGGGGTTAAATCTGGAATGGGATGTTCAGAAACATTTGACTATATAGTGTATATAATTTTGCTGGTGGTAGAAATCAAATGAATATTTGTATAATATTGTATAGACTAGGTTTTAAAGACTATGTTCACTAAATGCATTTTGTTTCAAATAATAATTAAAAAAAATTATTTACAGTTAGAGCACTGTTGAATTACCTGAGTGTAGAGTTTTGAAAAAGTGAACTTGGTAGAGACTAATGTTTGTTGGCAGTTATAAAAATAAAAATAAAAAATGTTATATGGAATATAGACTTGCAGTGAGCTGTGATGGAAATCAGTAAGCCTTGTACAATGAGTTGGGATACGGGAGGTTTTAATACATCTGCTGTTTTTATTTATTAACAAAGACAGGATGAATAGTGCAATAATGTTATGGCTTGTGACAATATATTTGCTGAATTTGTTTTCTGCTTTTAAAATTCCTCTAAGTTTTGTTTTTAAAGTAATGGTGGAGTAGCTGTAAATTGGCCCGAACCTTAAGTTTAAATAATGTTTCCCAGATGTAGTGATATGGTTTAGGGCGAAATTTGTGGGTGAGAAATTTGCATGTTCGCGTGATTCCTCACATAGACCGAGTGTTTAAAAAATAAATAAATAAAAAGTGAACTTTAGACACCAAATATATCTCGGCCGATCAACTACATTAAGGAGAATATTCTCTCTTTACTTTCCTACTACTGCAATTGCTACTGGATTACCTGAATTACTGAATCTGACTAGTGCACATTCTTACCCTTTTTATATAATAATTAAATAAACAGTGAACAGGATTTTTAGTATTTTGTGTTGTTAGTGATACATTTGTATCAGCGAGTGTAGCCCACTTGTTATGACCAGATCTATAAATAACCTTTTGATGAAGGTTTGTATCCGTTATAGGTTGAGTAGTGGGTTAACAAGCTGTGTGGTTTCTGCCAGGCTCTGTGGACAGAAACCTCAGCAGCAGTCTGAGCAGCACTTTTAATTAACAGCCGTTCCATTAATCACACAGGATTGTTAATTATAGCCAGCACTGACCGCCTGTGCCCTTGTGAAATCTCGTCTCTCTCTGTCTTTCCCTCCATCTTTATTCGTCTCTTTCTCTCATACACATATTCTTTCACACGGACACTACTTATGGACTGCACCATGAACACTGAATCTCACCTCATCCTGTCAGTGAGGGGGAAAAAAAAAAAACCTTTGATTCCTTTTTTTCCGGTCAGTGATGATTTAATGAAATTATAATGACATGCTACAAGACTCTCTCATTTGGGTTAGTTGACCTCCTCAGCTCTGTCTCAGTGTAGCCCAAGGCTGCTCCCTCACTGTCTAGCTGGGATAAAATGCTGAAAGTCCTTCTTTATTGTT